AAAAAAAAAAAAAAAAAAACAAAACTATTGTTTAGTAAGCATAACGTATCCTGCATTTGACGGTGAATGTCATTCAGGTGAGACCACATGCCCTCCACCCCCAGACAACTCACCGAAAGGGAGACTGTCACTACTTTTCCTTCACTGAAGTGAACCTCGCTCGGGAAAAATCTCTCTCTATGGAGTAACCTTCTTTCAGGCTTATTACAGTCCTTAGTAGGTGAACGAAGCACGGCCTGAACTCCAGCTTCGAGAAGGCTGTAGAGAATGCAGGCGCTGCAGCACCGCACAGGACAGAGGGCCTGCAAACCCTCAAGGAAGGTGTGTGGAGGTGGAGGACTGAAGGCCCTGCCTGCTCTGTGCCAAGCCTTATGCTGGGTGCTGGAGACACAGGCAGTCCGTCAGGCCAGACTTTGCCTTCCACAGACCTCAACCAGTCTGCTCTGTGACCTTGGAAGTCCCGACTGAAAGCCTAGATTTTCCTTTCTGAAATCAAAGAAGACACCTGCACGCCTTTAATCCCTGCACAGAGGCAGAGGCAGGAGGATCTCTGAGTCCGAGGCCAATCTGGTCGACAGAGAGAATTCCAAGACCTGGACGACACAGAGAAACCCTGTCTCGAAAAACAAAGAAAAAGAAAACTGAGAAAAAGCCACAAGAGCCAGATATCTCTCTGTGTCCTCTAAGGTCATCCCTGCACTGGCTTGAATGTCATTTTCCAATCCGAAACAACTCCATTGCTCTAAATATCCTCATGGGCCCGAACGCTGCCTGTCACCCCGCATGGCACGACAGAAATCCTCCACCAGGTGAGCCAGACTGGGCTCCTGACCAAAAGGTAACACATATGTCCGGGCCTCACCTGTTGGTGGTACGTAGGCCCTGGCTGGAGGCCGCGGGCCTGGCCTCGGCCACATTGAGGCGGTGGGGTCACTGAAAAGCCGGCTCAAGAGACCGCGTCCCCGGTCCCCGAGCCGGGGGCAGATCCGCCACATCATGCGCAAGGGCCTGGGAGGACGCATACGTCAAAACAGAGAATAAGAACAGAGCGCAGAGATTCCCAAACCCCTCGCTGCGGCTGTACGGAAACCTCTCACCACGGGCTCGAAGCCCTCAGCCTCCTCTGCACGCCGCCATCTTCCTTATGACACCTACGGCACGCCGTCGCCACCGCGCGCCCCCCGGCGCACCCCTCCCCGCCCCCGTCAATCAGCATCATAAGCGTGCTCGCCCCGCCCCCTCCATGCCGCGCTGCGTGGGCGGGTGGGGAACTACAAGTCCCAGAGGGCTGTGCGCGCACCGCGCCACGTGCTCTCTCCGCCCGCCAATAGGCGGGAGCGCCGCACGAGCTTGCTCCCGCCCCTCCGGCGCTCCCGCGCCAATCGGGAGCAGCTGTGTGTATATGTGTGTGTGTTTGTATGTGTGAGTGTGTGAGTGTGTGTGTGTGTGAGTGTGTGTATGTGTGCGCGCGCGTGTGTGCGCGCGCGCCAGGGCAAGTGGGGAGGAGGGCGCAGCTCAGGACAGGGAGGCCCCGCTAGCAGGTCCCGGGGTCCAGGTGGCGACACGAGCGCTCCGGCGGCCGGCAGCGGGCGGGTGGTTCCCCGAGCCCCTCCCACGCGCGTGCGCGCCCGGGTCCGCCCTCCCCGCAGCCTCGACTCCCGCGCGGCGGCGGCGGTTCCTTCCCCCTCCCCCCAGCCCTGGCTCCGGGGGACCCCGCGATGCCGGTCCGCACCGAGTGTCCCCCGCCGGCGGGTGCCTCAGCCACATCCGCGGCCTCACTCATCCCGCCGCCGCCCATCAACACCCAGCAGCCCGGCGTGGCCACCAGCCTGCTCTACAGCGGCTCCAAGTTCCGCGGCCACCAGAAGAGCAAGGGGAACTCGTACGACGTAGAGGTGGTGCTGCAGGTGAGCGCCGGGCGGCCAGGCCGGGCCCGAGGGCCTCCTCGCGGCGCTCACGGGCCAGGCCTGCCCTGGGCTCCTCGAGCCCTCAGCCGCCGACCAGGCCCTCGCTGCCGGGGCCTCCTGCACCCGGCGCCTCCCACCGGGACCTACCCGGCTGATGTCACACTCTCGAACCCTAGCCCTAGCCCACCCCTAGACCCAGAGCCTGTAGCGGCCAGCCTCCGACAGACCCCCAAAGACTGTCCCACACTTGGAGCCTTTGACCCGCCCGCTTGGGATCCGGAAGCACCCCTATGCCTAGCTGTCCTTTAACCTGGGTCGGTTCTTCCCAAGTCCTGTCTTCCCTACACCAGCCCGCCCTCCCACCGGCCCCTGTCGGATCCTGAAGAACTCCCCATTGGCTTCCCCAAACTCAGTACCCTCCCGGTGGCGACCAGTGTCAGATTCTCCCAGAATGAAGCTTGTCCGTCCCCTGACCCTCACTCCATCCTGAGAGCCGGGGACCTTGCTCCTTTGGAGAACTCAACCAGCCCACCGCCCTCGGGGCGGCGGGGGCGGGGTGGACAACCTCCCTCCATTGGCTGAGACAACCCACAGCGTTCCTCAGCCCTTGGCTCCCCAAAGACCAGGTACTCACACCCAGGTATCTCCAGTTGCACCACTTAGTGTTAGGACCTTGCCTCCAGAGGCCTTCCAGCACCAAAACCCTGCTTCAATCAGTTCATGGCCCAGTCAGCCAACTGCCCCCTAGTGCACTAGGCTTCGTGCCCCAGGCTTCTTAGCCTACCCTGCTCTGTGGCCACTTCCCATCCATGGCAGTCCCCCTGGCCTCTCCCCAGACCTCGCACTTTGGTCTAGCTGGTTGCTATTGCTGGCTTCAGTGTTGCTGATTTTTATCTACACAGCTCCAGAGTTTCCTCCTTGCCTCAGATGCCCAAGTACTGGGAAATCTAACCCAGTTTTGTTTTGTGTCCACTTATCTCCCCCCCATTTGACCTGGTTATCTGAGTACTGGCTGTTGGCTGCCAGTCCCTGAACAACTTTGAAACCAGCTTCTTCTGCTCTGGCCCTTTTCTTTCCAGCTCTTCACCTCTCTCTCTCCTCTGAAGCATTTCCCAGCCAAAGGAGATTGGTGGAGGTGGATGTTTTCTTTTATCTCCTCACTCCACAATAGTGTTCTTTCTGGGTGCTAAACTGCCTGCCTGCAGACTGATTCCCTCCCATCTTGTGTGCATTTTCCTAATGCCACCTCCTAGGCTATTCCCCAAACCTTGTTCCTTCAAAGCCCTTGCAGAGGCTCAGAGGTGCATGCTGCCTCAGGGCCCCAGTGAGATGTGTGGTGTACACCTTCCACCACTCTTTACTCTTTCTACTTTCCTGTCTTGGTTTCTTTTGGGCAAGTAGACCTCCCACTCCAAAGACATGAGAGTGTCTCTCCTTTCTAACTGAGGCACACTCATAAGCCCTCTTCGTTCCTACCCCAAAAGGGAATAGTTTTCTCTGGTTTTTGACTGGGAAAACGGTGCTCTTATTAAATGTAATTTGTCCCATAGAGTTCTGTCATAAACTATATTTATTGTAATTGAAAAACTGAGCTATTTCAATCCTCATTACCTACTGTGATAATCATTTTTTCCCTCCTTAAAATGTGATAATACAGTATGAGAAAGCCAGTCTTTTTTATTTTAATTCATTCAACTAATCATAAAATTCTGAAAGTGAGATCCCTTCATGGGTCATGTTTGGAATGGTGGTGAATTTATGCCCACTTGCTGGTTTCTGATATAATAGGTAACAGCTGGGGCAGAGCAACTATGTATCAAAGGAATGTCTGTTCCTATCATTGTGGTGGTCCCCACCTTGTAGTTGCCAGTGCCCTTGTGAGCCAGTGAAAATTGTGACTGAGTTTGAGACATGGCTGATAGGTGTCAGGTAGCCCAGAACCCTGTGTGGACTGGCTAGAGGTGGGGGCAGCTGGTGGTCATGCCAAGGAATGCTCCCCCACATCTAGATCAATGAGCTTGTTTGTCATGATCAGGTGGAGGCATGGGGATTGTTATGTTACCTGGTCTTCCTGCCAAGGCTAGTCTTAGACTCAGCCTTCTGAGAATAGTTGTTTTTCATAACTCAACTTCTTTCCTGCTTTTCTTGTTTGTGTAGTTTAGTTTAAAATATTTTTAGGAAGCAGAATAATGTGGTAGTTGAAGGCATGGCCTCTGAAGTCAGAGCAATGAAAAGTATACCTGCTTGTTCTTTTGAAGTACTTTTGTTGAGATGTAATCCATATGCCATACTGTTTACCTATTCAAGGTGTACACTTAATGGCTTTTAGGATAGTCACAAAGTTGTACAACTATCACCTGATTTTAGAACATTTTTATTGCTCCTAAAAGAAACTTCATACCTCTTAGCCACCACACACACACACACACACACACACACACACACACACACACACACACCAATCCTAGGCTAATCTTTTTCTTTTCTCTACAGATTTATCTCTTCTGAGACTAGGTTTAGTAGTATTCACCTATAATTCCTAAACTCAGAATATGAGGCCAGAAGATGCTAGACTATCTACAGAATGAGATCCTTTCTCAAAAACAAACAAACATGATTTACCTTTTACCTATTATGGACATGTATAAATAGAGTCACAGAGCTGTTTTTCCTTTCATGACTGACTTCTTTAACAGCATATTTTCAGGCTCATCTGTATCTCAGCACATGACAGTTCTTCATTTCTTTCTGTTGTTGCCCATTGTAAAACATTGCCTACATTTTGTTTAGCCATTCATCAGTTGAGAGACTTTTAGGTTATTTCTACTTTGGGGATATTATCACTAATGCTGTTGTGAACATTCATATGCAGGTTTTTGTTTGTTTTTGAGGTGTGGGTCTCTATATTGCTCAGGTTAGCTTTGAATCCCTAACTTCAAGTGACATTCCCACTTTAGCCGCCCCATGTACTGAGACTATAGGTATGTACCACCAGCAGCCCAGCTGTGTACAAGTTTTTATGTGCACGTGTGTTTTCATTTTTCTTGCGTAGATATAGATACCTAGAGGTAGAATTACTGGGGTTTATAGTATATCTAGGTTTAATATTTTAGCAAACTACCAGTGGTTTTTTAAAGTGGTTACACTGTTTTACATTTCCACTGGCAGGAACCATATGAAGGTTCCAATTTCTTCCTTTAATTATAGTTGTCCCAGTGGGTATGGGATGGCATCTCACAGTCTTACTATAATGTTCCCAAAGATGTTGTATATCTTTTCCTGTACTTTCAGATCAGTGGGGTGTATACACATGTGTCTGAGTGCATGTATGCATGTGTGCTTATGTTCCTGGAGATCAGATGCCTATATCAGGTACCTTTCTCTACTGCTTTTCCCCTTATTTTTTGAGGCAGGGACTCTCACTGAACCTGAACTCACTGACTGGCTAGACTAACTGCCAGGGAATTCCAGGGATTGGCCTGTCTCAGCCTCCCCAGCACGAGGGTTACAGGTGTCCCCTACCTTGCCTGGCTCTTATGTATACTAGGACTCCAGATTCAGATTCTCATACTTGCACACCAAGTACTTTACCAAGTGAGCCATCTCCACAAACCTAGAGCAGTGGTTCTCAACTGTCCTGATGCTGTGACCCTTTAATACAGTTCTGAAAGTTGTGGTGACCCCAACCATAGGATTATTTTTGTTGCTACTTTGTAACTGTAATTTTACCACTGTTATGAATCATAATGTAAATATCTAATATGTAGGATATCTGATATGCGACCCCTGTGGGGTTGCGACCCACAGGTTGAGAACTGCTGCCCTAGAACATCTTTTATTTTGAAACTGTAGTGTAGCAGAGTCCCTGGAAATAATACGCAGGATCTTCCCCCCAGATCTTACTATTACTATTTACCTCTCTGCCATCCCATAAGTCACAGTAGTGTGAAGCCCAGGTCTCTGTGAAAGGCATATTTACAAAGAGCAGCTGTTAGACATAGCTGTGCTGAGAGGTCTCCTTGTTAACATCTGCCTTATCTTCCACTTTGAAATGCTGGCTCCTTGGTTGGTGAGAATGTGCTGTGTGCAAGTGGGGTGATTTTAGTTTACCCATCATCATCAAAATCAGTTTGGGCAGAATGGGGAAGATGTGGTTGAATAGAGGCCAAATAGAAATTCTGATTGTTGAGCATGCAAACATGTGAAGCAATTTACACTTCAATTTTTAATCTCATTAGCAAGTATTTCTTCCATTTGATAGCCTTTAGCTCTGAAAACCACAAACTGCACTGAGTTCTATAAGAACCACAAAAGGGAGATTTAAGGCCTCCGGCGCAGAGTGTCCTTTAATAAAATCATCATCATCATCATCATCATTATCATTATTATTATTATTATTTTGGCTGAACCATGTGAGTGTAAACGAGCTGTGCTACCTAATTCCAGTGCTAAGACCAGCTGCAAGTGAAGATGCTGAAATACTCAGGCAGTTTGGGCATGGATTACTTTTGATGCCAGTACCAAGATGTGACAGCCTCTTGGCTTCATTGGAACCTCATTGCTTTGGTGCTGACATCGTCTGGCTGACTGTGCTCATTACAGTTCTTAAGGACTGCCTCAATATTTGATTTGTGTTAGAGATAAAAGTAAATCCCGAAACCTGATAGGTGGGGCTGGAAAGATGGCTAAGCAGCAGTTAAGAGCAAGCACGCACTACTCTCATAGAAGGCCAAGTTCAATTCCCAGCACTCATGTCATGCAGCTCACAACCTCTTGTAACTACAGCTCCAGGAGGCTGTGACACCTCTCTCATGTGTAAGTACTCCTATAGACACGTAGATATAATTAACAATAATAAAGTAAATCTTTTCCCAAAATATGATAGGTGCACAAAATTCTACTTTTTTGAAATGAGACCTTGCTTAACATAAAAATCTCCATATGAGGTTGGGGATTTAGCTCAGTGGTAGAGCGCTTGCCTAGCAAGTGCAAGGCCCTAGGTTCGGTCTTCAGCCTGGGATAGATATATATATATCTGTACTTTGTTTTGCTTTAATTCAGAAGTTAATAGGCAATTTCAGAGTTTATCATAATTAGAATCACTTTAAGTCATGAACTCTGAAACTCTGCCCATTTGGGACAATTGTGTGTGTGTTGGGGTGAGATTTACAAGTTGGTGCGCTTCCAGCTCCAAGCATCTAGATTGCATTTCAGAATAGCATGCGCAGGGCTGGGAATGTAGCTCAGCTGATAAAATGCTTTGCTAATATGCACATAGCCCTATGTTTGATCACCAGCACCACATAAACCAAGCATGATGGTGCACACTTGTAATCCCAGCCCTCAGGAGGATCAGAAGTCATGTCTTCCTCTACTGCATAGTGAGTTTGAGGCCAGCCTGAGCTATGTTAGACCCTGTCTCATCTACTGTCTGACGTTACTATTTGGCTCCAGGTTCTGTAATGGGTTGGTTCCATCTATCTTTCTGGGTTGCCATCCTCAGCGTTTCCTGGTCTATGGCTCTTTCTGGTCTCTTGGTAGCTGCCCTGAGATTGAATGCTGCTTGTCATTGTTCCAACCATGAGGGAAAGGAAGAGACACTTGTTCCTCAAATGTTAGTGCTCCTTCCTAAGCACTCAGAAGACTGTATTCTTATTGGCCAGAATTGAGTCACTCACCCCTACACCAATGGCTCACAGGGGATGGGGGTCCATACATGCTTTCGATCCACTAATAATGGCCAGGTCTTATAAACAAGGTAGGTGCCAGAACAAAACCCAGGCCCTGCTAGTATGGTTGAGAGAGAGAGAGAGAGAGAGAGAG